CTGGCCGCTCCCTCACACATTATGGGGCCTGGCGGCCTGGGTTCCAGGCCCTGTGCTGCACCCAGGGCTGAAGGCCCGGGGGAGGGAGCTGGCAGCCAGGAAGAAACAGGCACCTCACCTGATGCCGGAGAGGTTCAAGGACTCAATCGTGTGGGCCATTCTGAGTGGCAAGGCAGGCAGGGAGATAGGCACTGTGAAGACAGTGCTGAACCAGACAAAAGCCATGTGGGAGGTGGTGGCAACACAGGGAAGAGGGCAGCTTTGCGGCTGGGATGGATGCCAAGCAGGCTTCCTGGAGGAAGTGACAGAGCCTTGGCAGTGCCCTCAAGCAGATGATCACCAAGTCTCAGGACCTATCAGGTCCTGTCCCTGAGCTTCCTGCACGCTCCTTCCTAATTCTCACCCCAGGGCCTGGGGGGCTCAGCATCGCTGCCCCATTTTATTGAGGAGGAAGTTCAGACAGGAGGTCAAGGCGTTTGCCTAAGGTTACAGTGCAAGTAAAAGGCAGAGCAAGGATTTGAATCCAGGTCTGTTTGACTTCAAATCCCAGGTTCTGTCTACTAATTTCCTGAAGGAATTGGGGGGTGCCCCAGGCAGAGGCGGTGATGCCCACAGATACCTGCATTTATTATGCATTTGTGGGATACACACCTGTCTTATCTCTGCACATAACCGCCCCCCGACCTCACCCACCCACCACAGTGCAATTCACAGTCGGGGACCCTCATCCGGGTCAGATCATTGCAAACTCCGTCTCCAGCAGAGCAGGGCGCACTTTATGGACCAAATTCATCTATATATCAGCTTTACGGTGAGACTCTCACCTTCCAGGTCACCCAGCTTCTGAAGCTCCAAACCCAAGCTCTGAACCAACGTATCAATGACCCAGCCTGTCCCAAGGAGCTTAAGCCACCTGGGCTGGAATAGCCAGTGCTGACGAGGAGGGAACCTGACTCTTGGGAGGGATGGTGGCAGGTGGGGGAGCGTTGCTGCCGGTGAGCTGCCTTGGGCATCTCAAGAACGACAGAGACAGATATCAGAGACAGAGACCCACGCCCAGGTGAGGGCTGTAGCAAAGCCAGTCCGTAAACTTTGGCTGGGGACAGGTTAGTTATCAAAGGGGCCCGGTGTCTATGACAGCACTCGTTGCTGGGCCTGCAGAAGGTTCCAGACCCTGTGGACCTCAAGTGAGTGCATAGCTTTACCCACCACCACCTGCTCTGCTTCAGTGACAACACTTGGTTAACATGTGTCATTTGTTATTTGTTATTTGTTGCAGATCTGGTGGAGTCAAGACAAACAAGCCACCAGGCTACAGGTCACTGCCCACCTCCTCCTGGCTTGTACCATTTCCACTCTTCCCTTGCATGTGGCCTATTTCTCCTGCCACAGGCCTGTGCACGTGGGGCTGCTGCCCGGCCCCTGCCCCCCGGAGATCTGGGGCCCAGATTGATCCTTCTCAGTATGCTCCCGGGTTATCAGGCCAGGAGAGCGCAGACTTCAGGACGAGACGGCCATGCCCTGGGGTTACCCGAGGCTGGTGCAGGTGGTAGAGTGGGTTTGGAGTCTGAGAGCCAGGTTTTGCTCCCTCTTGGAGACCTTGGCCAAAGGATGTAGTTCCCTTGGTTTCTACCTCTGCAAAATGAGGATGAACCCAGCTGCTTTGGGGACAGTTATGAATTCTGTGCCTTCACTTGTGTGGCAAGACTCTGTTGCCTGGACCCCTGAGGTTTTGCCATCAATACTAGAGTGGCAGCCATGCACACGCCCATGGTTGGTCCCTGCTGAGGTCCAGCCGTGGGCCACAGAGCGGCTCTGGACTTGCCAACAGTGAACTCTCCCTTTCTTAGTCTGTGTCCCCTGTCCCCGCTGACTTCCACCACCTGACCAGAGGGCACGCTTCCAGGAGATCAGAGGCCACTGCCCCAGCCAATGACACCCCAGAAGCACAAACTCCGTCTCATCGGGAGGCTTTGCACATCAGCAAAGGGCAAACAAGTGACCCACAGAGTTTTTGGACAGTTCCTGGAAAAGGGCTTACCTAAACTGCAGGGCAAACAGGCAGACTTCTGTCTGGTGCGTGGACCCAAGACCTGTAGGAGACACTTCGCCCCTGAAGGGGTCAAGGCCAGCTTCTGAACACAGATGGCTGACGTCACCTGCTTGCACATTCAGGGTCTAACCTGCTGCCTGGTATCTAGTGGCAGGAGCCTCCTCCTGCTATGCCCTTCTCCTCTTCTGAATGTCCCACTTCCTGATTTCCCCCCTGGAGGCCAAGGGAGAGCCTCGGCTGCTCTAGTGGAATTGGGTACATCCGGGAGTGGCTCAGCAGGGCAGGTGTGGGCGGCACAGACCCGCTTCCATTCCTGGGCTCTGCAACTGGCCAGTGTGACCTGGTGCAGGGGGCGGGGGGCCTCTGTGCCTCAGTCTCCCTATTGTAATGTGGACACAAGAATAATTATTTCTCCAAATATCTTCAAGATTAGAAAATGTGAAACAGGACCCGAAACAGCATCAGCACCAAATAAATGGAAGCTATGAACTAAGACGCACGGGCCCCCAAGTGCCCCTAGTTCTTACCAAGGAACCTGAGGACCTCAGGTGATGCTCAGATGCATATTCAAGAGCACTGATTTGTCCCTGAAGTTACAAGTTTCTGCTCAGTCCCTGCACAGGAGGCTGTCTAGGTTGTTGTACTGCCTACACTTCATCAGTGCTGAAAGCAGTGGTAGGTGGGGGGGACTTCCAGGAGCTGGGGGCAGGGAGGGGGATGTCCTTTGTGACAGTTCCTTCTGGGTGTGACATGTTTTTCACAGCTAACAGAAGTCTGCTCAAGGTAAAAAGGGGCAGCATGTATGGAGCCCTTTCATGAATATTCCCAAGAGATGTTCTGAGCATCCTTCTTCTTTCTTCCTGGGGAAGGGGAGGCAAGGGACTGGCTGAGAACATTTGTTCAAAGGTGATAGATTTCGTCACATGCGTGAAAAACAAGTTTTCTCTCCCTAAAATCTTGGGAGCCCCAAGAACCCAAGAACATTATTTCTTTATGTCTGCTGGGTGTACACCGTACTCTGTTGACCCCTATGCAGCTTCCTTTGCCCTTGTTCAAAACAATTTTTACCAGGTCTTTCCAAGTGCCGGATTTAACTGGGTTTATGGCAGACCATCGTGGTGCATCTGGGAAAAGAAGTCGACACCCCTTGTTTGCACTTTTGGTTCTTGACAGCATGGGATCTGGGGTATGTCAGGTGACATCTCTGAGACCGGATGCCCTCATGAGGACATGAGCTCGGTAGGGGCCCCTAGCTGCATAAATAAATAATACTGTTGCCTGCCCAGCCTATGAGATATCCAGGATATAATGGACACGGATCACTTCGTAAACTCTGAAACAGAATACAAAAATTGTCCATTGCTATATAGCGTGTGCAGTAAGAGTTGGGCTTGTCAATGTGTTAGTGGGAAGGTTATGTGAGTGTCTGCTGGGTGGGGCAAAGTTCATCACAGGTATGGGGCCAATCAGCAAGGGTGAGCTTAAGACCTATGTGAAAGGGTCCGGTACGGCCGGGTCTCCAGCGTCTCGGTGAACTGCGGGGATTTGTTTGTAGCTGTTTCGGGCCCGGAGTAGGTCCTCCAGGGCGCTCGCCGCTGCAGAGAACAGTGGCCGGAGCAGCGGGAGGGCAGGGAGCAGGGCTGCATAGCACACATTTCGTTCCCGCAGGAGCGGCGTCCTGATGCGCAGGCACCGGGGGCTTTGTGCATTCCGCGCGAGGAGCTCGGGCGTCGCCGCGCAAACAAAGCCGCTTTGCAGCTCTCGCTCTTGCTCTCCGCCATTGGCTGCCGGGCCGCGACCTCCCCCCCTGCGCTGGCAGAAGCCCAGCGCCTCGGCTGGGCACAAAGTCAGCCCCTCACCCTTGCCGCATGGGGGGAGGGGCAGGCTCTCTGACAGCCCGGGGTGGGGTGGGCTGGTGGGGAGGGCGGTTGGTCGGAGTAGACAGCTCCTCCCGGCGCCCGGCCCCTTTGCCCTTCACTCTTCTGGGTCCCCCGCCCGCCGCACTCGCCGCGGCAACTCCGCCACCTGTTGACGCGTCCTCCCAGCTTGCGTTCCCTTTCTTCTCTTGCATTCTGGGCTCCCCCGGACAAGGTCCTTCCCCACCCGCCCCCAGCCCCGCGCTCTCCCCAGACTCGAGGGCATCCGCGCTTAGGTGCCCGGTCTAGACCAGCTCATCGCACAGACTGGCAGAGCCGGGCTCCCCGAGGGAGGAGGGGCCTCGCCAGCGTGGCCTGGGCCCCGGACGGGAACCTCCACCCTTCCCGCAGCCTCGCGCCCGCCCCTCCTAGATTTCAGCCCTTCCCAATGCGCGGGGTCGGACGCTCGCCTATCCCCAGCCGCACGCGGTGTGCCATCGCGGCGCTGGGTCCACCCGCCCGGTGACCTTGGCGGTCCCTCCGCCTCCCCGGCCTCAGTTTCCCCCAGGTGCTGCAGCAGTGGGGCCGGCGGTGGGAGCCCCCGAGAGCGGCCCCACCCCCGTCCCCGCGGGCATCCAATCGAGCGCCGCTGTCCGGGGGCTGTGTCCAGCGCGGGGCGGGGCTTCCCGGCGGGCCACCCGCGCGAGCCGCCCCAGCGGCCCGGCTGGGGCGGGGGACTGAGGGGCGGCGCGTGCCGCGGGGGCGCGGCTGGCACGGTTGCGGGGAGGCGGCGCCGGGCATGGGCCGGGGACGCGACGGCCCCACGGCAGGGGCAGCGAGCGGCGGGGGCGGAGGCGGCCGCTAGCGCCCTGCCCGGCGCCGCCTCCCTCGGAGCGCTCGCCCCGCGGACCGGCAGGCGGCGGACCGGCAGGCGGAGGACCGCGGCCCCAGGTGCCAGGCGGCGGGCGGGAGCGCGCGGGGGCTCGGGGGCCGGGCTCCCCCCACCTCAAGACCCAGAGCGGCGGCGGACTGGGAGGGGCTGGGCGGCGCATGCGCGGGGCCCGGGGCGCGGGGCGAGGGCGCTTGCCTCGGGCTCGTGCGGGGGATCCCGGGGCCCTGGGGGCCGCCCCTTGCTCGGCCTCCCTCCACGCGCCCGTGGCCTGCCGGGAGCCTCGGCGTTCACAGCTGTCGGTGGGGCTGGGACCTGGGCAGAGGTCGAGGCCCGGGACCTCAGAGACACTGGGTCCTCAGGTTGTCCCCCCGGAGAGAAGGCCCACCAGGCGGGGGCATCAGGCGCGCCCTTCTTTCTGCGTGGTCGAGCTTGGGCGTCACCGACTGGGGGCGTTTCCCGAGAACGCCGGGGATCCCCTAGGCCAGGTAGCCGGCGGTCCCGGCAGACTGACCCTCGTGCGGCTGGCGGCCGAGGTCCAACGGGAGAGACACACGCGGCTTAGTCCACCTTTGAGGAACTGCCCCACTTTGCGCCTGGCGCAGTCGGGCGATGCAGACGGGCCGGGCCGGGCGAGCCCAGGGCAGTCTCTGCCGCGGGACGTCCTCCCGATCCCGGGGCCCGCGGGTCTGGCGCGGGGCTTCCGAGCCCGGGTCTCCCCTAGTCCCCGGCCACGCATGGCTGTGTTGGCGGAAGTCCGGAGGGTCGGTTCTGCCCTCACGGCCTCCCCAGACTAACAGAGAACAACTGCGCGCCCGTGCTTTCCTCGCCTTTTTAAGTTTAAAGGCTGGAGCCGTGCCCCGAATGTCAAGGTTCTTTCTAAGAAAAGTCCACGGTTGTATAATGCCTTGGATTTCGCGGGGCGCTCTGGGACGTTCGGGGCTGCATGCCTACCCCCATCCCAGCCACCCCTCCCCAAACCAGGGAGCCCCTCCTCCCCCAGGGCTGCTTGGGAAGGGGTGCGTGGGGCCGGGAGGGGGGGCAGGGTTTTCCTGGGGACGACCCTGCCACACCGTAGCCATTGAAGACGCAGGGTCACGGTGACTTTCCTCTTTCAAGGTGGTGGAGAGTTGGGGAGAATCCAGAGGACATATCGTTGTAATCGTTTTCGTCCTTTACCTTCTTACTGCCAAGGCTGCTGTGAAAGGCCCTGCCTCTGCTGTGAAGTAACAGTTTGTGGCCAGACAAGTCCAGAACCAAGACGTTGTCATCACAGGTAAATAGAAGGTTTGATTTACTTATTTTTCCAGACTGAAATAGTTAAGTCTTTACTTCCATTGCCCTACAGACTAGCAATTTGGGGGTTAATTATTACCTTGTGATGCAACGGGTTAGATCTATTTTCATTTCTTTGAAAGTAAGATGAATGTGGATAGATTCCCTTTTAAGTTCTGAAAACTTTATTCTGTCAGTTTTACTGGGAACTTCCTTTCTTTATGGCAGGCAGGTTCCACGTAATTTAAAACTAGATAATAAAACTGTGAGAAATGTTTTCACTTAACAGACACTTAAGTTACAGATGCTGACAAGTAAAGAGCACCATGCCTTCTCTTAGCTGTTTTAATTCCAATCTGAAAATCAAGCAGATGGCTTGCTGAGCTAGTTGGCCAGGTCTAGAACTGCCACCAGCCAGGACAGTGATAGGAGCAGTGGACCTATGGTACAGATTGAGTGGTCACTGTGTGTGAGGGACCAGACAGTGAGCTTGACAAACTTCTATACAACTCTGAAGCAACAGAAAATCAATTGACCATAGAAAAAATGTTTTCCCTCTTCTCACATCTTGAACGTGTAAAAGTTATTCCATAAAATCATAAAATAATTCTTGTTACGAACTCAGGTTAGTCCACAGATTTTTTTGGGAGGGGCTGCATTGGGTCTTCGTTGCGGCGAGCGGGGGCTACTCTTCGTTGCGGTGTGCGGGCTTCTCATTGCGGTGGCTTCTCTTGTTGCGGAGCATGGGCCCTAGGCGCGCGGGCTTCAGTAGTTGTGGCACGCGGGCTCAGTAGTTGTGGCTCGCGGGCTCTAGGTGCGCAGGCTTCAGTAGTTGTGGCGCACGGGCTTAGTCGCTCCGCGGCATGTGGGATCTTCCGGGACCAGGTCTCAAACCCGTGTCCCCTGCATTGGCAGGCGGATTCTTAACTACTGCGCCACCAGGGAAGTCCCTGTACACAGATTTTTAAGCGTAGTATGTGTATGCAGGAGAGAGAATGAGAGAGAGAGGAGAGGAAAAAAAGGTGTTTCTTCTATATACACTATTTTGTAATCTGTTTTATTAACCATTAGGTCATGAAAAATCTTTTCATGTGAATAAATGTGTTTGCACTTTATCATTTTAAATGTCTATATGATATTTCATTGTGTTTAGATACAATAATTATTAGGCCAATCCTTTAACATATGTATATTTTAAAATTCTTTTAGTCTGTGAATGTTTACTGAATTTTCAGCTGCTCAGTATTGAGAAAGGCAACTGGGGATCTGCTCATGAAGCTGACTCTTACACCAGAATATAAGAAGGGAGCTGAAAGTGGATGAAACTGGGGCGCAGAAAGGGAGACTGTTTTTGCCGCAGCACCTCGTGGTTTAGGGATTGGTAACCAGTGGTCTTTTCCTTGTGTGTTGTTCTGTGGGCACCTGTGTTTTTATAATAAGGATTCTTTAAGTAATCTTCTTTAAAAAACTTTTATTAAAATGTTTCTTTGCTTACTGTAAACAGATTTTAAACATGCCACGTTTCTCTCTTTCCTCTCTCAGTCTGCGTGTGAATGGATAGATTCTTTTTTAATAGTTTTTATTTATTTTTTAAATTTATTTCATTTATTAATTATTTATGGCTGAGTTGCGTCTTTATTGCCGCGCACGCGGTCTTTTCTCTAGTTGCGGTGAGCGGGGGCTACTCTTCGTTGCTGTGCACTGGCTTCTCATTGCAGTGGCTCCTCTTGTTGGGAGCACGGGCTCTAGGCGCGCGGGCTTCAGTAGTTGTGGCACGCAGGCTCAGTAGTTGTGGCTCGCGGGCTCTAGAGTGCAGGCTCAGTAGTTGTGATGCACGGGCTTAGTAGCTTCGCGGCATGTGGGATCTTCCCAGACCAGGGCTGGAACCCGTGTCCCCTGCATCGGCAGGCGGACTCTCAACTACTGCGCCACCAGGGAAGTCCCCCCGGATGTATTCTTAATGGCAAATAGGATGAGTGTCTTAACTTCCAAGTGGCCGGTGTTTGGGGTGAACGTTTGTACTAATTTTGTTGCATCGCAGTTAGAGGATGTGGCTTTTTGGGAATTTAAGGGCCTCTGTTTTTATTTCTGGTTTTGGTGGCTTGGTATAGGCTTCATAGACACTTCAAATAAAGCCATAGCTTCTGTTTGTAGGATAGACATTTGCTGTGTCTGTTACTTCTGCCTTCGTAATTACATAGAACCAGCTAGCTCACGTCTAAGCCCATGTGGTTAGGGAAAATTAGGCAAAGGATTTTAATTTCCAACTTGGTGTGAAGATAGGTTTAAGGTAAGAACCAAACAGGAAAAGCCCTAGATGTCCCAGTGGACCTGATTTAAAAGAACTTGTTTCTTCTTCCAAGTATTTCTGTCACTTGCGTGCAGTGATGTGTATGTACTGTGGGTAACAGACATCACCTAGTCTGGTTTGCTTGTTGTTTGGAGGTGTGTTCATTCTTTGCTTCTAGAGTATTTAATTAGTATCTCGTTGTAGCAATATTGTAGAAGGGTTTATGCACTTCAAAAGGTGAAGCGATTACTCCTTACTAAGTCAGACCTATTATTAGTTATTTTGGTAGCTGAGCTGCATTTGTTTTGAGGTCGGCATATAGTACCAGAAAAAGTACTTGAGAATTTTGGTTTGCATCAGGGATGCAGCTTGACATAGTGGAAGAGGTGTTAGGTCATCCCCAGGTTTGATTCTCATCCCTTCGAGGCAGGCTGCCGGGCCTGGGGATCTCTGTTCACCTCTCTAAATGCTGTTTTCTCATCACAAAATGGAGTTCCTCTCCTTTCCACCTCTTTGAAGGGTTGGGAGTCTCAAAAGTGGTGGCTTGGGCTTCCCTGGTGGCGCAGTGGTTGAGAGTCTGCCTGCCAATGCAGGGGACACGGGTTCGTGCCCCGGTCCGGGAAGATCCCACATGCCGCGGAGCAACTAGGCCCGTGAGCCACAACTACTCAGCCTGCGCGTCTGGAGCCTGTGCTCCGCAACAAGAGAGACCGCGATACTGAGAGGCCCGCGCACTGTGATGAAGAGTGGCCCCCGCTTGCCACAACTAGAGAAAGCCCTCGCACAGAAACGAAGACCCAACATAGCCAAAAATAAATAAATTTAAAAAAACCAAAGTGTTGGCTTATGTGAGGACTCTTTGTAGCAAGTAAAAAGGCATACTTAGCCCAGGCAGCGTCTTAAAGAAGCACACCTTGTACTGCCTGCCTCTCCCTGAGCCGGATCTGGTAACTGTCACTTTTGCTCTGACCGTTTGGTGATTTTTCAAAGGCTTTTGGAACGAAGCACATCCCCCACCCCAAATATACACTTCTTTTCATTTTTGAGTAGGTAATCGAGAGTCCTACACCAGTAAGAACAAAACTGTCCTGAGTGGGTTTTGTTTTCTCTGCACATGGATATGCCCTCAGGTTTATTTATTTACTTATTTACTTATTTATTTACTTATTTATTTATTTATGGCTGAGCTGGGTCTTCGTTGCTGCGCACGGGCTTTCTCTGGTTGTGGCGAGCGGGGGCTGTTCTTCATTGCGGTGTGCGGGCTTCTCATTGCGGTGGCTTCTCTTGTTGTGGAGCACGGGCTCTAGGCACTCGGGCTTAGTAGCTGTGGCTCGCGGGCTCTAGAGCGCAGGCTCAGTAGTTGTGGCACACGGGCTTAGTTGCTCTGCGGCATGTGGGATCTTCCCGGACAAGGGCTCGAACCCATGTCCCCTGCATTGGCAGGCAGGTTCTTAACCACTGCGCCACCTGGGAAGTCCCTGCCCTCAGGTTTTGATGGTGATATATTTTGCATTTGTCCTTACTCCCGTATCCCTAGACCATGAAAACAACTGTTCCTCATCCTTGGAGGGTCTGCGGAGATGCAGGCTGGGTGAAATCTTCCCCCGCCAGGGCTGCTCCTGGGTGCTGCCCTACCTCACTTTCCCCGCTGAGTCCACCTTGATGAGAACGGAGTATGTGTTAATCAGTTCTGCCCAGCTGGTCCTGTATACTGAGTAGGCCCTCCACATCTGCAGGTTCTGTATCCACCAGTTCAACCAACCGTGGATTGAAAATATGCAAGAAAAAAAATTCCAGAAAGTTCCAGAAAACGAAACTTGAATTTGCCACGTGCCATAAGTATTTACATCGCATTTACATTGTATTCGCAACTATTTACATTGCATGTATGTTGTATTAGTTATCGTAAGTAATCTAGAGATGATTTAAAGTATACAAAGCTTGTGCGTAGGTTATGTGCAAACACTACACCTTTTTATATAAAGGACTTGAGCCTCTACAGATTTTGGTATCCCCAGGGGGCCCTGGAACCAGTCCCCTGAGGATGCTGAGGGAGGACTCTGAACGTTCATTGAGCGAATAAGAGATGAACAGATGAACAGAATTTAATCCAACAAGAATTTATCGATTTTTTTTCTTTTTACAGGACTCAGGTATGGGTGGGAGCTGGCTGGGGGGGACTTAGAAGTATAGCAGGGGGCCTGCCCACCGCAAGAGGGTTTCCCCTTGGCATTTTGCAGTTTCCCTCGAACCTCGGATGGCGAGAGCCCATCCTTCCATCAGCACTAGACCGGTGTGTTCCTGCACGCCGTGCTGGACTCCCACACGTCGCTCCCATGGCATAGGTGTTATAAAGGTGGCAGCTGCAGTTCAAATTATTCTGTTTATAATTATCACTAGATTTGGGGTATGTTAAACATTAAATAGACTTTTTATGAGATGGCCTGAGCATCTAATTAAATCAAATGCTCTTTCTTTCTGCAAGATCATGGATTCTAATTCCAAACAACTGACTCAGAAGGAAAGAGGTGTGTTTAAACATTTGGGAGTTGGGAAGTGTTTCTATTTAACGGGGCAAGGGTCCTGCTGGCCCTCCAGTTATGGAGATAAGATAGGCACAGGAGAAGTTAGTGAAAGCATTGGAGAGGTTTAGGTCTTCTGTGTTCCAGACTCAGCACTCATCCGACTGCTTTTAATTTTTTTTAATTTTT